ATATACATCGCGCGTCTGGTCCAAGGTTTGTTAGTTTCCCTCGGGATTTACTTAAGCGTACGAACGTGCGAGAAGTGGTAACGAGCGCGCGGAGCCGCATCGCAGACGGAGCATGAAGGAGACGTAGAACAACGGCGGGCGTCTCTCGCGCCGCTACGTCTCTCCGCTATCTCTCCTCCACGGGCACAATCCGATCCACTCCTCTCAGGATTCTGCAGCGTCTACATTCTCGCCGTCAGTTAAATTGTCACGATTGAATCGGGCCGTGTGCCTCCTCCCTCCTCCCAGCCGCCGGGCCGAGTCCCTCGGCTTGCCATAATTTCATGACGGCAGCAGCTTCCTATGCCAAAAGTTCTAATGATTGTCGATATTGCCCGAACTATGCGCCCCGCGTGGAATACTCACGTTAATCCACTGACGATGCGCGGCGCTCGTTATTCGGTCGGAATTCTAGCCGGCAAGCGAGAGGCAGCACGCGGTCCATTTGTGGCCGAACAGACGTGTACACGATGCGTTTTACACGCTTCCGAAATTAATCGATATTCGTGTGTGTTAATTCCGAGTTCGCGAGTTTCACGAGTGACCGACCGTTGGCGGATAAGAAATTGATGGAAAATTTCAACAGTGGGGCCGTTTCCTTATTGACACGAATATACCTCGTAGAAACGAACGCAGTAATTTGGGACTGTCCTCTAGTAGGGAGAATTGATATTATTATTATTATTATTTGCACACGCTCGACGGAAAGAAAAGTGATGCTCGTGCTAAAATTTTAAATTTTATTTTATCACAATAGATTTTTCTTTTTATTTCTTCACGTATTCGGAGACAGGCTTTTATGATATACTATACAAAGTAAGATCAGTTCGTGTTTAATTCAGGATCCACCGCATTGTTTTAGGACATTTTGTTCACGATGGCTACATGCAAAGACTGCAATTGGCTAGTCCATTTATCGAGGGCGTTGTAACGAGCGGCGCATACCGATTTTTTATCCAATTCGAGAACTTGATTCACCTGCAAGAAATACAAAACATTGATGTATGTACGAACAATGTGTGTGTGTGTATGTGTGCGAATATGTGCACGTGCAAACGTTGTCGTCAATCCGTCTACCGCTTTTTTATCCGTGCTTGAAAAAGAGTTGCGGCCCAATTCAGTTGTTTGAACGTCATCTTGTACAAAAACGCAATTTTAATCGGCGAATTAAACGACGTTACCTGATCTATACGGCCACGAATAGTGCTGTCCAAGATACAAGATACTAAGAGACTCTCCACTTCCGAAACGTCGATATTCAATTCCTTACTTATGAAGGGGATGTAAATTCTGGTATACGGTTTTATTAACTTGATTAGAACCTGAAATACGATATACGATATGAATATCACGATGTGCGATATACATACGGCAACAAACTGACATATCAGATTTGGATAAGCTAATTTTTATTTTTAACCGAGTTAAAAACTGAATTAAGGTAAAAGTTAATAGCCTATAAAATTAACTTAGTTAAGCTAAAATTTATCCAAGACCAAAACTTATTAAAAATTAAAATAAAATTAAAAGTTAAATTAATATTAAATTAACTTTTTAACCGTAGATTAAATTTATGCCAAATAAAGAAATAATCTACTATAAGAAAATACCGATTGTTTTATACTCACGATTCCACAGACGAAAAGAACATTAGTGCTCAGAAAAATAAATAATTTTGCTGGCATTACTTTTTATTTTTCTTATTGCAAGCAGCGCGGCAGTGATTTTATAATATTAAATAATTATTTTAATTTATTAAATAAAGATAATATAAGTTAAAGTTAACGCACTCTAAATTAACTAGTTTAAGCTGAGTTAACTCATTTAAAAGTGAATAAATTAAGCCAAAAGTGTTTAAAACTGTTTAATACAGCTTTTAACTGAATAAATAGTTATTATCCAACCCTGATAGAGTCACCGATTGTAAAAGCTGTATACCTGTGTACGGATGTTCCGCAATAAATCTTCAATGTGTTCTCTGATAAAAGGATCGTCCATAATATTGTTCCTATTTTGCTTTAGAATTAATTCGAATTGATTGATATCGTTATTCTGATAACTGACAACTAGATTTGTCATTGCTAGAATCTCAGGATCGTTTTTATACGGTTTAGCCTCTTGTGAATCAAACGGATTAATACCAGACTTCATTAACCTACGAGTTTTGCAAATTATATATGTGCCAGATGTATTAATAATAAATATGATTGCAATTTTATAGGACGTTTCATGAATAAATCGACAAACTTCGCCAGCATATTTGGGTGGTTATTCCGAACAAAAAATATGTATAAACTATATAATATGCTAATAATAAACTATAATAGGTCGATTCAGCTCCGTTATTAAAATATGGAAATATTGTGATTTATATCGATATACCTTTCATATCTCGATAACGGAGCTTGACGTTGTTTATATAACATTTTTTTATTCAAAGTAATATGCCCCAAATATGCCAGCGAAATTTGTCGGTTTATTCGTGGAACACTTTGTATAAATAATAGAGACAGCTATACACTTACATATTGGCCAATACTAAATACTTCAAACATGTCGTACGTCTCGGCGATCCAGATTCGTCGTAATTCTTAAAAGCTTCGAAAAAGTCGGTATGGGCCCTTTCAAACTCGCCTTCTCTCAAATGCATCTTACCTCCACATTCTGAAAAGAAAAAGAACAAGCGCTTTACCACCTTCAATCTTTCATATGAATATGCAGACAACATATTTATATTAAAGAAATACAATGGTAATATGAGGAACGGCTAAAAATACTTGCAAGTGTAAATAATTGTTGCTAGGAAACATTCACATTTCTTACCTCTGATAACACCCATTATTAAAGGATGTGGTATAGCACTTTTAATATGAAGGCTCTGTTCATACAGAGTCTTCAGTTTCTTATTATTCTTCTGTGCTGTGTACATCTGTATTTCTAAGGCATAAATCTCCAACAACTGTGTTCCTTTCTTCAGATCATCCTCTCCGTCATCAGTCTAGGAATGCACATGTTCAAGAATGATATAGTATTTTGACTTTATCGCAACAAAGAAATGAATGCTCGTGATAGATACTTGACAGCTCTGATGAAGTTGCTTTAATATCTTCGCCAATTTATTGAAATCTGAACGGTCGTAATATAGCTTCCCCAACTTTGTATTTGTTTTGAACCATAACCTATCGTTCTTCGCATCTTTTAACGCATCTAATGTGGTTTCATAAAAGTCTTGCAGTAATTCCATCTTGGAGAAGAAGCAAGGGATCCATTATTTTTGGGAAATATACAAGAAAGTTCGCATATACACAGGAAAGTTCAATGATGATAGAAAAAAATTTAAATAGTTAATAATTTTCAAACATAAATAAGTGGTTGAATCATATGAAAATAGTTAGGTAATATTAGGTATATTACATATTCTTCTAGAGCATTATATATTCTTATGATTAGTCGATGCCAGCCTTGCTGCGATACTCACATTCTTTGATGTACTAATATAGTCCAATATGGAATTTATCGATTTCTCCGAGTGATTTCTAGTAACTGCACTTTTAATGTAAGTTAACAACTGTTTGTACCTCGCCATCATTTCTTTATAATTGGACTAAAAAGGAATCATTGTCAGAAAGTTGTCGTTACTTTAACACACATATTACAGCCAAAGATATAGGTTCCTACCGAATTGTTCACGTACCAGTTTAAAATTAATTTTGATCATTTGTTTTAAGGCTTTGAAGCCCCATTCACCCTTCTCCCCGCCCTCGAGATCCAACACCTTCTGGAAACTTTGTAGGGCAGCTTTCGGATCATCTTCCTTGAGTGCTTTACTATTGTAGTATTGATTTTCTAAATCCACATCGGGCTCGGAATTCGAATCTTCGGAATACTCCTAAAACAAACAATGATTATAATCCAATTCGGAAGTTATTGCACGCTCGACAACATCGTTGATTTAATATTCAAGACAAAGTCAAGCTCGGCGCAATCCGATCGTATCGACCACCGGTGTGCTCGCGCGATCGGGTCGATTTCGGACGAGATTTTCTCGTTTATCGTGAGAATCTCCCGAGGTGTCCCTCGAACTATTTTTAAATGATATATAGAGCAACTCCGGAAATCCTAACCTCAACACGTGCCGGAAAATCGCACGGAGAGACCGGGGATTCGCGCGCGCTCCGAGGAAAGACTTACCAGCCCGTAATCCTCGTCCTCTTCGCACATGAAATCATCATCTCCGTCTGACATTTCGCAGGCTCTTTTGCTAGTCGCGAACGTTGGCAGTAAGAATCTCACGCGATCCTGTTGACACCGAGACCACACCGCCGAGTCGTATTTTGAAATTCACCTACGCGCACTGACTACACGCGCAGAGCCGCCATGGAGCCACAGCTGATATGATGCGGTTTCGGAGGTCTCAGTGATATCTATGAAACTTCTGGAGTATTACAAAAATGACCTTTCAATTGAGACGTGAAACAGTCTTTTATAGTGTGATATTAATTTAATTGTATTACTCGGAAATTATTTATTTTTGCTGCTTTATCCAGCTGGTTGTTCAGTCACCGAAGAATAATGCCGGTATTCGTATAAATACCGGCCATAATCAAAGGGACTAATAGTGCCGGTCCACAGTATTTTAAGCCATAAGCCTTAAGAAATTGACCAATCACAATTGATTATTCTTCTATAATTCGATTACGAGTGGTCAATTTCTTAAGGCTTAGAGCTTAAAGCACCTAATGTAGACCGGAACTAATGTGGTGTTTCCGAATGCACCCTTAAGCCCGTATCAAATAATTCTTATTTCTTTGATAGATCTAGTAACACATTAGGAATTAACCAATCAAAACGCGAAGCTTCTAATATGTTACTAGAACTATTAAGAAAACACATATCGTCCGACGTGGATTTTGATAAGAAATCGAGCTAGTAGTATGACTCAACGGCACATCAGACGAACTGTTTATTCTTCAACAGTGGAACAGCTGGTTGAGTGGAATTTTATTTTTACTTATTAATAAGGGAGAACTTCTGACCTAACGACGAACTGTATCGCTGGAAAATGAAAATTTCAGCATAATAAAACTCTGAAAAGATACAAATTAAGTATGTATTCACAGGAGACATATGTTGAATAAAGTTTAACAATGAGATCTGATAAAACTACATTTCGAATATGTCAGTACAAAGATTAATTTGAACTTAAAAATATCGAGAGGATATTCCTTTAACATATAAAGAGAGTCATTTACTCATCAGTTTATTTGTACGTTTAGGTTATGCTTGTGTAGTGACATGATGAATACTCGGAGTGAAACGTCAAATGAGCCGATACTGTACGAATTGTTGGAATATTTTGTACGAGAGCAGGAACCAGAATTGATAGTAAGACAAGAAATTAAATCTTGACGCGGATTCATGTGCGGGAAGTCATTGGTTAAGGGATATCAACAATTTTCCATATTTCAGAAGTGCAAAAATGATACGGTTGTTCTCCCAGCCACCGGTACGATCAAAAATGCTCTGAGATATTTGAACAACAGATACTCCTTACCTGAGAGCGTCTCCCATCAAGTCAGTCTCACGCTGTCCTGGAAATTTGCTGTCGGGGATCATGGTCGTGTACTTGCCATTTTACAAGAAAACGTTATCGAAATACGAAAGGCCAAGGATGAATATTCTTCTATAATAGGCAAGACGTCGGGTAAGTGATGCGATAATATCAATGTACAATGTGGAGACCCTGAAAATGTTCTATGAATGTTGTAAAAATATATCGTGTGTATTTTCAATGTATTTGAGATATGTTGAGTACGTATTGAGAATTTGTATGATATACTGATAATATTGTCTGTGTGGATGGTTATTTCTGAATATGGATGTCATTTATTCTTATTAGTTGCATCTCATATATGAAATACTTGATATTTTTCCGTAGCTCCAAAAGACGCCTTTCCACAGTGGCGTAAACTCGCATGGAGTCCTGATGGAATGATCTTAGTGCTGGCATCCAGTACCGGTTATACGTCCTTCTATAATATACTGGGGAATAATATCTTCAATATAAGCCCGAAGACGATTTCGCAAAATCCTTACATTTTGGAAGCCGGTGACGCGATAGCATCTATGTTATTCCTCAAGCCGAATGCAAAAAATGAGAAGTGGACCTACGAATTCATTTTGATTACATATAGCGGCCTACTCAGATCCTATTACATCTCTACGACGAGCTTTAACCCAAATTATGACTTTTCTTTCGTTAATTTTTACAAAAACGGCATCAATGCTGTCATCTACGATGAGAAGCGCCATTTGTTTTACGTCGCTGGAAACATGATCACGCAGAAATTGACGGTAAATCAACTTACGATTGTTATTTACGCCGTAAAAATGTATTTGATCGTACAATTTTGGAATTTCAGTCCACCGCATCAGAATCCGGGTTAACTTCATGGCGACCCTTGAACGACTATCCGTACTGCAAATTGTCATTTGCATTTGAAGACTCGGTGAGCAGTAAATCACGGTTTTCCGTATGGAATTTAATTCCCAGCTTCAGCTTTCAACCAGAATCGGTTATATTCACGATAAAAATCTCACCCAATGGCGAACGTCTGGTGTGTTTGCATACGGACGGTTCGGTTTCGCTATGGGGATTGCCAAACTTGGTATTACAAAGGAAATGGAAATTGTCGGAGCAGCCGGAGCACAATATACCTAATCCTTTGGGACTTACAAAGTGTAAAAAATTTCCGCCAGGCTTCACGGAATTTCATCCGACAGATATTGGCTGGTGGTCCGATCAGGTAAAATCTCTCTCTTTCATTTGTGCACGATGTATTATAAATTAAACGATCTCGATATTTCACATCTTATACTACTTTTTTTCTTTTTTTTTTATAAAATGTATATTTTTTAAGGCTATCATAGTAGCTCGATATTCGGGGTCCACTTCAGTTTGTTCTATATGGAATTTGAAGAATCTGTTGGGTGTCAGTCCAGAATTTTTAATGGGACAACCACAAGTGTGCGAGCTGGGATCGGAGAAAGGGTTCTTGTGTTTAGATTGCGAAACCTTCGTTACAAGTAAGAAACGAAGCAGAGAACCTAGCGATGGTCATTTGCCAGGTTTGTTCATGCTTGTTACTCTTCTTTTTTTGCGATAATTGATCTGTTATTCATATACAAAATATATAATTGTATTTATATATTATTATATGTTGTATAATTATATACATAATATATGGCTATATAATTTATAAAAACCTGCACACCTGAGTTATACTAATGTTAATTTCGCAATAAAGAAGCGTCGTCGGAGAGCGAGAAGGATGATGATGAACTGGAGCCCATTACAATATTAAATTACACTACGAATCTGGTTCAAAGTACTCTGTATTCGATAACCGATATCGAGAGGTTTCAACCGAAGAGGAAGAAATCGAAAGTATTGCGCCGTACTTACAGAATCTTAGGCTTGAAGAGTACGACACCGGAGGAGCTTTATTCTAGAAAAATAGACATTGAGGTAGATAAAATTATCTTCGTTAAATTCAATACACTTAATAATAGCAAAAGTATTGTGTCAGATTAAAATGCGGGAATTTGTGTATTTTAGGAATACGAGGAAGCCTTGGCTCTAGCGAACACGTACAACTTGGACACGGATCTCGTGTATCAAACTCAGTGGAGAAAATCGAAATTGTCCTTGAACGCCATCGCGGAACACTTGGGTAAAGTAAGCAAGAGATCCTGGGTCCTAAACGAATGTGTTATGCGCGTCCCCGACACTATGGAGGCTGCGAGAGAACTATTGAATTTCGGGCTGAGAGGTGCCAATTTAGAAACTCTAATAGCGATTGATATCTGTGATAACGACAAGTTCGTGATTACCGATGCGGAAGACGATTGGCAAGCACTGGACGAGAACGCTGCGACTTTACGGCAGGTGAACAATCAAAATCTACAACAACGTGTGCCTTGCGATAAACAGCATTGGTGAACACGGAAACTATGTGAATTGATATGATTTTGATTGTTCACAGATC